AGAGGAACACTACACAAAACAAAAAATACCAATGCACGACAAACAAAGTGGAAATTATAATTTACATCAACCACTTCTACGAGAGAAAGAGAAAGATACTACAAGAAAAGACAAAATTAGAAGATAGAATAAAAATTACAACGGAAAAAAAGAAATAACAGAAACTTTCTGTTTGAGCATGGCATTTCAGGCTTTAGTCACCGCAGGAGCAGGACGAGGCGGCGGGGCAGCGACGGAGTTCTGCTCCGTCAGAGGTTTGGCCGCCCCTCCGTTGCGCCCGCGTCCGCCTCGTCGCCCCCGACTTTTCTTGCCAGAGCGCTGTCCCATGTTCTCACGCTTGTCGAGGCTCGGCTCGAGCGGCGTGTCCGGAGCCTCGTCCGGAGTGGTCTACGGCAACAGAGAGAAACAGGCTGGGTATCTCCAACATTCAGGGAGTCACCATCCTCCCTCCAGCAAAGCTGCTCACCAGTGAGCCATCTTTCAACTACGCACAGAGTGCAATATTACAGTTTCTAACTACAGGAAGACGTTTCAAATGTTGGTTTTGTCAATTTTTCCAAAAGGATGAATAAAGCAATGTTGTCTGACTGCTACGATGCTGCCTCTCTTGTTATTTTTTTACCTGATCTGTTGGTTGCTGGTTTTGGTTTTGGCTTTGGCCTTGACCCTGGCCCTGAGTGGATTGACGGGACATCATTTTGTTGGGCTTTGATCGGTTAGTTTGGTTTGCTGGACCAGCAGAGGGAATTAATCTCAAAACATTGCCCACAGCTTTGGTGCGTCCTTCTCGGAATACCATACGCTGTCCTGCTTTGAGGTACTCAGGATGTTTAATGAATCTGAAATGAACAAGTGCTTTGTCTCCTGTTCTCAGGCATTCCTCTGACATTGTCAGAATGCTGGCTGTTTGACGAATAGAACCGCAGTGAACCATAGCTTGGTAGCGGCTGCTGATTGTAGTAGGATGATGCAACACTAAAATTTCTCCTTCAAACTCCCAGCATGCTTGGGGATTCAAAGCAGGGGACACCATGACCATACCTTTACGAATTTGTGATCGCTTAATCTGAAAGAGAGAGGGTCCCAAATAAATACAAAATCTATCATTTTCAATGCCTAAAAGTGGTATTTCATTGGTCAAATTATCCTTAGGTACCTTTTTAAGAGCAAAAGATGCTGTTTGACCACCACGAACTTCTCGCACAGCCATTCGTTTGCGATGAATGCTTTTCACTGCGATTGCAGTGAAATGTCCCAAAGGATCGGGGCCAAGCATTAGGGTATCGTTTAGTCGAATTACACCTTTAAGTGCAGTTCCCGATACAACTGTGCCAACACCCTAAAAGAAATTTAAAAAAAATTTATATATATATACTCAAAAACATTTCTAACAGAATAAAATATGTTTGAATAATATATGTTCTCACAGGAACAGAGTATGTGTCATCAATCTGGAATTCTGCAGGTTCATCATCTCTGCTGTATGTTCTTGTAGTCAACAAATTTAGGAACATTTTCAACAGATCCAGATTTTCTCCACTGACATTAGAGACTTGGAATATTGGGCATAGTCTGAAACATAGTTTATCAACACACCATGTCATAATAGGAGACAAACTCACAATTTTATTAAGTGAAAGAATTTTTTGTACTAACCTCTCAGAAACAAAGTTTGTCGCACTAACAATAACATCATCAGGTGTTTTAACCATCACTGGTACTTTTCGGCATCCTGGAGACTTCAAAATTCGAACAAGAAGGCGCAGTGTGTCTTGCAAGACATTAGGTGGACACATATCAATCTTAGTAACTACCACAAAAACAGGTACACTCAGTGCTAAAGCTAAGCCCAAGTGCTCTTTTGTCATACCAACAATGCCAGCATTAGCTCCAACCTGCAAGAAGATAGACAGATCAGTTGCAATCGACGTAACTCATCCAAAAAATCAATTTTGAATCCACATTTTTTCATTAGGACATTTGTAAATGACCATTAATTACCATCAACATGCCAAAATCTGGGGCATGACCAGTCATGCCAAATACAGTAGTCTTGAGATAGCGTTCATGCCCAGCCAAATCAATAAATGTTATTACTTTTGCAGACCTTTCACATATTTTCACCCAGTCTAATGAACCATGCTCAGGTTTATTCACAACATTACCTGAATAAAAAGAGATGATTATTCTTAAAAGTAAAATTACAATATTATAAGGAAAACAAAACTTGAAACTGTGATTTTCCTTACCAACACTATCAAATCCCAGAATATCATTTCCAACTGAACTTGTCCTGCCGGATTCCATTTCATGTTTGTGTCGGAACAGTTTCTGTCTTGCAGTTCCTCTTCCATTATCAAGCTCCCCATGTGTTAATACACCAAGTAGGGTAGATTTACCTGCATCTACATTTCCTACAACTGCAACCCTGGAAATTGAAAAATTACGATTATATTGAAGTATAATAAATTACTAATATACAGTATTTTCAAATGATGAAATAGTTGGTAGAGATGATAGAGATTGCATCATTGTGTGCATTCTGAAATGGTAAAAAAAAATATTAAAAAAGTAATTAAATGCTATACATACCTTATTTCCAAGAAATCTTGCTGATCAACTCTTCGTCTGACTAGGTACTGTCCAGTCATACCCTCTTCCCCTTTGCGTTGGCGCAAAATAACACAGTCAGATTCTAAGGTTGCAGCCAAGGACTGCAATGTTGCCACTGCTGCATCATATTCATCTGGTTTGAAACCACTTTCACCACCATCTGAGGTAATAAGAAAAATTATTGTGAAATTATTATGAAAGCCCCCAAAGCTTGCAATATACCATCATTCAGCAATGCACTTGCCTTCTCCAACACCAATATCAAAAATGGTTTCTCCGCGTCCTTCTTCCAGGCGCTGTGTTAATTTTTTCTGAAGGAGATCAAACTGCTCCTCAGTGGGGCTCACCAAGGCCATCTGAAAGTAAAGTTTTCCAATTTAAAATTTATACATGATAGCAATGACAAAGACAAATGCAGTCTTTCGTTAATGAGATTTATGTATTTGGATATTGACATAAATCTGATAACTAATATATAGCACTGGTTTACACAGAACAAAAATACAAAATATTTCCCTTACCTTTGAGCGAATGCTAGTAAAATCAGGGGCATTTTTAGGCGAGATTTCAGCAGCTGATGCAAACAAGGTTGCTGCTGTCTCAGCCTTATTTGGAGTTTGATCTAATACTGCTGACATGTTTGGTAATTTAAATGATACTTAAAGCTACAAAAAGAATTTTCTCACAAGTAACCTAAAGCCAATAAAAAACTTAACCAATTTTCAACATTTATATTGGTCTTAAAACTTTTCGTAATGCATATGAGTAGTGCCTTAACACTATTGAATCTTGGATAGAAGAAAATAGAGTTGTCCACATTAAAGACATTAGAGATTACAACTCCTTAAGATCCTTTTTGAAGTGCCGCAAGGTAGCAGCAGACTCTGTAATAAAATTAAAAATAATTGCGTTAAATAAGTCACTGGAGTAAATTGTATGTGGGGGAAAACAGTGGAATGATCAGGAATTTAACAAGAAATGCTGTTAAGAAAGAGTTTTATCCAGCCAGGGTCCTTTCTGTAAGTATATCTGAGAGGGAGAAGTCTGATGACAAGTGAAAACAACACTTCCCAGACATTAAATCTTATTTTGTTCTCAAACAGATGTTTAAGGTTATGATGTGTGATCGGAAATGACAAGAAACTGCCGGCATTCCATTTCAGGCAAGATATTATGCAAACCAAAGACCCATCTCACGAAAAAACAGCTAGTACTCAAGTGTGTACTGAAATAAACAAATCAGGAGACGCTGTCAATGTCAACAAGCGTAACCTTTGTGTACAAATACATACGTAGACGACAGCAGGGTCTGAGCAGAGTGCTACACGAACAACGCGGACACGGTCATCAAAGCCTTACGAGACGTAAGAAAACAATCAAAAAATACTTGATGCTATCAAAATGCACACATCAATTCGCCACGGGAAGTGAATATGTCATCATTTCCGTGCCAAACGCTTTGCAGGAAAAGCGCACAGTTCACGTCACAGACAAGCTCGACTCTCTCACCTCACTACTTTTTTTTCGCTTATTGGTTCCAAAAGTGCCACCAATACAGCACTACTGCAAAGGGTCAAATTTGAAGCACAAGTACCTTGAAACTGTCAACGAGGATGGCTAGGAACACTATTTTCCAGCAATCTGGCTGATCCAAATCTGTCAGGCCTAGTCAGGCCCGCGCGACATCCTGCAACTTTGGCCCGACGTGGCAGCCCTGTCGCACAGCGGAAAGCCCGCAGACTTTGAATCGGCGGGGGCGGCTGACCCGAGCCGCCGGGGGGGTGATTTACGCGATGGGGCCTCCTTCGAAGCGCTACGGGGAAGATCTTTCAGGGGAAGTACCTTGTTTCGAAGAGCCAGCCAAGAGGTTGTTTGGTGCACACAATTGTCTGTCAGGAGGTTGACCTATATGTTCAGGACCCATGAGTTATTAGAAAGTATTGGGTGAGCGATGTTGCCACATTGGTCAGGTCCTGGCTGGAGATCCTGGAGATAGTACCGGGTACCTTTGATACCCCCTCCTTGCTTCCAGGCGTCTCCAGCGGCATATCCCCCGGACTCCGGATTGCCCCCCCCCCTTTTTTTCCCGTTCCCCGCGACACATCTTGACCTGGTATACAGGTGGAAAGAAAAAGTAAACACGTACGAGGGAAATTAGGGCAGGCTCCAAACAGGAGGATGTGGCGAGACGAGGCCGGTATCAGTCTGGCGGGCTAGAGAGGGCGAGGGAAGTGACTCCATGGCATCCGGCGACATGACGTGAACAGTGAGGACGATACGACGATCATGAATTGTAAAAGATTCTAACCTTGGCTTCTTTTACCTTTAAGTTTTTAACAGAACAAGAAAAATTAGTGCTGTGATGCGTAAATTTTCTGTTTGGTGTTATGGCGAGTGAAAGCCCTTGAATCATGCTACCCTACTGTTGTAAATTTTGTGAGCGAGAATCAGTTACTAGTGTGTAGGAAGAGCATGACATCTTTACCTGAAAAAGTTTCGGTGCTAACTGCATTGTTCCTATTTTTGATGATAAGTTTGATTTACATTGGAAACCAAGGCTCAAAGTTCCAAATTGTTACCAGCCCAGGTACTGTACCAAACTTTAAAAACCAGTCTAGGAGCGTCTCTAATTATACATATTTTCATTTATGATTGCTACATTTTTTAAAGGTGCTCCTCCATTAAAAGAACTACAAGTAAAAGGAATTGACCTGCTTGAACGAGCTGTGTTCATTGAACGTCAAGACAGACTGCAAAGGGAATGTCAAACATATAAAAGACGTCAAAATGCTCTGCAGCTAAATGTATCCCATTACACTCCAGAAGCTATTTGGGACAATAAAGAAGTCTTAGACCACATTATTGTTGATCAGAAGCACCAACTTCTCTACTGCTATGTTCCAAAGGTATTTGTTTTCACCCAAGTGCTAATGTAGTAACTCAGCTACAGTTCTATAATAATTTTTCTTTTCTTAAAAAAATAGGTGGCATGCACAAACTGGAAGCGCACTTTACTTTATCTATCAGGCAGCACAAATGTCACAAAGCCTATAGATATTCCATCTGACTATGTTCACCGGACAGGAGTGTTTCCAAAACTATCAAATTTCTCGGAGGAGCATGCTGCACATATGTTGAAGACTTTTACTACATTTTTAATAGTACGGCATCCATTTGAACGTCTCCTCTCAGCGTATAGAAACAAATTAGAACAAAAGTCATCAAGCTCTAAATATTTTCAGACCCGCATTGGACGACATATAAGTAGGTACCAGCTCAGTAAAAAATTTTCATAAGATTCAAAACAGTAAAATTAATCAAATTTTTCTGATTTCTCTCATTTTTAGTAAAGACATACAGAAAGAACCCCTCAAATCATTCTCTACAGTATGGACATGATGTGACTTTCTCAGAATTTGCCACATACTTGGGAACTGAAAATGGACCTGGAGGAGAATACAATGAGCATTGGAAACCAATACACCAGCTATGCGCCCCATGTGCAATTCGTTATGATATTATTGGGAAATATGAAACATTGTATGATGATGCAGACTATCTTTTACATCAGCTTGGAGAGCCAACTTCAGCTTTCCCCAGATATGCACATCCATCAAACACCACAGCTACGTTAGGAAAATATTTCGGAACTCTAAGTGTGGACCTGCTACGTAAAATGTATTCAGTCTATGAAACAGATTTTCGCCTCTTTGGATACAATCTTCAAGAATTTTTAGGTTTTGAAATAGACTGATGTGTTAACCCTGAAATATTAAGTGAAGCTCAGAACCAAAACGTAAAAGAAAAAACAGATTAACATGACCAAATTTAATGGGCATAATTTTTTCTTTCCACAAAAAGCTCAACTACTTCCTTTAAAAAAAGGGGTAGCTTGAAAGAGCATAGACGTTTATGTTGTGGTGAACATAGTGTTGTACATTAATTTACTGCTCAATAGACAATAATTCGTATATACAGTACATGTAATAATGCCAAATACAATTAACAGAAAATAACAATTAAGAAAAATTCATGGTTGTGAGCAATAAATGTGCCATGTCAAGGTCAGACAAGATTCTTTTCCAATTTTAAGAGTTCTAATCAAAGGGAAAACCAGAAGAGGTGCTTGTTCTAGAAATCTTGTCAGCCAGTATGACGCTGGCAAACATAAAGAACTGTATTAAACTGTGATTCACTGCATTTTGCTTGACTGATAATCTTAACATACAAATTAGGTAATAGATAGATAAAATTAAATTTACTTTGAAATAAATCAGAACTTTAGCACAATGTATCAAATTCCTCTCAGTTTCTTTTTACAAATTCCTCACACAAATTTTCTGCATCTTATGCATTTGGCTGCATAAATCAAACCAAAAAAAGAAACAATCACCACCAAGTTATAACAGAGATATAATACAAATGGGTCAGAATGGAAATTTTAAAAGAACAAATCAAATTTCTACATCTATTACAGAATTTAGTCCGCCTGCTTTCTGTGGCTCCTATTCTTGACATTAGCAACTTCATAGAAATTGCTGCCAATCTTCTTCCTCTTCTGATCTCGCTCCATTCGCCTTCTGACCCTACTTGTGAGTTTGCGCTGAGGCTTAGGTGATGGGGGAAGAGGAATAGCCTTATCAGCAGCCACATCCTCTTCATCAGAACTAAGGTCACTTCCAGATTCTTCTGATTCAGTATCATATACAACATATTTACTTTTCTTCTTTTTCTCCTCCTTTTCTTCAACCTTCTTCCTCTTCCTGTCTAAAGCTGCTACCTTCTCTTCCTTGGTAGGGAATGGATTATCTTCTGTATTATAATCCAACATGACACGAATTTGAGAGAAATCTTGCACAACAACAAATGGATTAGGATCATCTTTTGATGGTTTTTCAGTGTTGGAATCAGCAGATTTGGAAGTTCTTGTCTCACTTGCATTTTCAGTGACAATAATTTTAGCAGGGGCAGTAGAGTTAACTTCTGCAGCTTTTGCAGATAGTGGTTCTTCAAATCCAGCAGGTGGAACATAAAAAGGTAACTTACCACGCTGCCAATCATTTAACACCATTCTTGAGACAACTGCATAATCTGGCTCACCTCCTTTCAAAAGTTTGCCTGATTTGACAGCGAGCTTCTTCAAAAAATCAAGGTGAGATTCCCAATCATCAATTTTATATGTTTTGACTATGTATTCTTTGCGTACTCTCTCTAGCACAACAGGAATATAGTCTTCAGGATTGGCAACCATTTCAACTCGAACAACTCCTTTCAAAACTTTGTCAGAATCAGATTCTTCACTAGCATTAACAACACCAGGACAATCAATAAGGAATATCCTCTTCATCAAAGTGATATACTGCCAAACTTTAGTCTCCCCTGCAATTGGAGCAACTTTACAAACCTTCTTAGAGCGAAGGGTATTGATTACTGAACTTTTGCCTACATTTGGATATCCAATCAAACCCACACTAATTTGTTTCTTATCTTCATGCAGCTTTCCAAATTGACGTAGAAGATTAATGAGAGCACCCTTACCAAACGGGTGGGTCAGAGACGAATGAAAAGCAATAGTTGGGTATTCTGAACTGAGGATTGCTACCCAGCGCTGAGTTACCCAATTAGGGATAAGATCAACCTTATTAAGTATAAAAATAAGGTGCTTGTGCTTTTTCTCTGACTTTAAAAATGTTTCTAATTGTGGTGAGCGGGTTCCCATAGGATCTCTTGCATCCAGAACTTGCAAGATTACATCTGAGGAATCAATTACTTTGTATAACTCATTCCATATTCTCTTACTCTGACCTGCTCCCATGATCCATTCTCTTTGGGCATCTTTGACACCGCCATTGTCACGAACAAGATCATAGTCTTTTTCATTATTATACTGCTCAGAAGTAGAGGTGACTGTTTCTGAGAGTGATTCAACATCCCGGAATTTCAGATTAACTCTTTTGCGATTTTTCTTGGGTCCAAATACTTTGTCAAAGCTTTCGGTCTCCAAAATATGAACACGGGCATTTTTGGCTTTCTCATTTAGAAGTGTGATCGGTAATTTAGTAGCTTTCATAACAACTTGATATGGGTCCTTAACAGCTGATCCGAGTTCTTCTTGAAATTTTTGAAGTGCATTCTGTCCAATCACACGAGAATTTCCAAACCACTTCTGATTTGGTTCAACACGTGCCATTGTTCCTGCAGCAAGCCACCCCTGAAATGGAGCAGGGGTCAGAATTTCCCCACTCTTGTTACGCTTAGCTTTGAAATTTCTATACATCTGCAGCCGTTTAATGGTGCTCTTTGAACGAGGATTTGAAACCCCTTTCAGGCTGTCAGTACTCCGTTCAGGGTTCATACTGTGTTGTGTTCGGTTTAAGCCCTGCTTCCGAGGGGCTCCACTACTGCTCTTGGTTTTAGGCATGTTGAACCTGGAAAAAAACAAGGCAAGTGTTTCAATACAAACAATATTGCATAGTCTAAGATCCAACAACAATTAACTGAGAAGACAACAGGAAAAATGCTTTGTAAATCGGCCGGTAGTGTTATAGGGATATATTTAAGAAGCCGATTGACACGTAATAGAAAGATAAATGTTTTGTACTCTAAACGAAAGAAAAACATAACCCTGCATGTGTCGATTGAATAAAAACGCAATATGCAATTGTTGGTCGACAAGACCTAAAAACTAAAACGAATCATCCTAAAACCGCCTTCACGTTTAAGAAACATGTACTTACTGTTTAAATACGTCTACAACTTGAAACTATGAGGAAAATGTAGGAGAGGGATCCTCGAAGACACGAGGACAACACCAGTTACCACACAAAAAGAATGGTTACACTTATTTGCAGATCTATGATCGTGCCGTGAAATATATTCGCACTATTCGCAGTTAGTATGAGAATTTCAAGTTGCCCCGTTGCGGTTGGTAGCTTCTGCTATTTGTTATTGTTATTCATGTCTGTGATCGGCGAAAGAAAATAGTAGCATGTCTTTTGAACGCAATACTAGGTCCTTATGCTTAAAAGTCATTCGTCCATTACTTTTTGAGCTCCGAAATTCTTACAAACGCACTGTCTTGCCTGTTAACACCTATCATCGTTTCAGGAAGAAAAATCATCAAACTTCTCAACCTCAAAGGTTCAAATACTTCTTAGTACTAGACTTTGAAGCAACATGTGACAACAATTTCTTTCCAGAAATGGTGAGCAATTTACTAACATCTTTTTGAATGTAATGTACGTTACGTAAATTGTTCTCTTCTCTTCTGCTGTAGGAGGTTATTGAGTTTCCATGTCTGAAGATTGATTCTTCGACATTTGAAACGCTTGGCAAATTCCACATATATGTTCGGCCAGTCAAACACCCTCTTTTGACGCCATTTTGTGTTAATCTGACTGGCATTAGTCAAGTAAGTTGTGAACGTTTGTTCATAGTAAAATTATCCTTGTAGTATTTTCTTTGTAAATTACCGTGTAATGTTTCTCATAGGAAATGGTAGATGGCCAATTACCATTCTCAGAGGCTCTGACGGAATTTTTAAAGTGGATTGCAAATAGTGACACACTATTACATGGGCCTCAAGCTAATTCTGCTCTTGTTACTTGTGGAGATTGGGACTTGTTAAAAATGCTACCAAATCAATGTGCCTTGTCGGGAATTCCTATTCCATCTGAGATGAAATCTTGGATTAACATTAAGAAGGTAAGTTAATGCAAAGATATACTAGTTTCCTTTTCCAGAGTTAAATTGAAATATTGCTTTATCCAATAATCAAACACTGCTTTTAGTCATTCCTCCATTCAACTGGCCTTTATCCTCATGGTATAAAAGATATGCTTGCACAGCTAAATTTAGAACACGAGGGAAGGCTTCATAGTGGAATAGGTAAATAAGGAGAAGATATACAACATAATGCTCAATTTATTTATTTTTCTGTAGCTCATTTACGTGTTTTTTTCCTTCAGATGACTGCAGGAACATTGTGAAGATAATGCACGGTTTAGCAGCAAGGGGACATATATTTCAAATAACTCGTAGTTTTTCTAATCGTCCCCCCGTTCCCCGTACGTAACACGTCCATTTTTTTTTTTTGTACATTTTCATATAAAATAAATTATCAAATTGATTGAAATGCGTCACACTGTTGTTGTTTTCTCCTGATTTGCACTCGTCGTCGTGGCCTGAGCGCCTGCGAAGTTGAGGGTAGGCCAACGTCTCCACTCTGGTGTAGTGCGGGTGCGCCTCTCGCCTACCCCACAGGCGCTGAGGTCAGCCGAGGGCCGCGCCCAGCCGGGCCGCTGACCTGTTGGGCCTTTACCTGTTGCGCTGCACGCTCGGCATTGGCATGCCCTCCTCGACCTCGGCGATGCTGTAGCCGTACGGTTATTTATTTTTCAAAAGTGTTTTTTTTTTTTTGGGGGGGGGGGGGTTGGAGACTTGAATGAAACGTCACAGGATACATAATGTATATGTTTATTTTGGCGATATTTTTTTTTTGTTGACAAACGAGTGAAAGTTGTGGAACAGAGAAAATATTCAAATGTAAACAAATGGCTGTCGAAGCATTCAGTGGTAAATCATACAAGCTTTGTGGTACATAGGCAATTTTCAAGTTAACAAGAACCTTAAATATTTTAGACGTGTTTTTTTCTCTCAAAAATATACACTACACAGTTCTCGGGGAATCACAAAATAGTATCAAATTAGAGAAGGAGTTGATCGTTTCTTGCATCCTTACAATAAATCAAAGCCCTCTAAACCGAGGCATCCTACGCGTACACAATAATTTTTCAATCAATAAAAATAATAAATTTAAGGGCAGCAAAATATCTGCGCTGGCGAAAATCATACCATTCTTGAAGGAGAGACGGAACCTAAAATGTCACTCCTCTCCAAATACCCCCCACCCCCACCCCGTTTTCTTTGGCGTCTCGGAGGTGGGGGGTTTCGCTGAACCGTGATTACATTGATTTCCTCTGCCCCCCTCAATACCTCACTAATCGTTCACCTCC